GGGTTGATTGTTTGATTGAACATAGTAATTATATTATTGTGGGTTGAAAACCCTATGTACTCACCAGGTTTCCCAACCTGACCCACTCAGTTTATGTATATCACAGGTGACGAAGTGAAGTGACATTACACTGAGAGATTTAAAAGAGATGTAGATCACTAGTGTAAATCATTGTAAGTTCTGTTTATGCTTATGTTTCGGTATTAACGATGACATCCCAAACATTTTAAAATGAAATAAATACGTTTCTTCGAAAATGTTTTAATAACGTATTTACCATGTTTTTCTGGGAACAAATTCCGCAACCTTTTTATAAAATGAAGTACTCTGATTTTTATAAAGCATAAAAAAAAAATCGGTCTTTTCTGGCCGTGATTTTGGGGATGTCACACAAGCCACCAAGTGATCAACTTTATTGGTTAGGACAAAGTATTGGACTCAGATCTGTCGTTTGGACAAAGTGTCTTAAGGGAGTACGTAGTTTTGGAGAAGGTGGCTTAACAAAATAGTACGATGGGCATACACGCCAGTACGCGCAACGTACAAGTCATTCAAGCAGTACGCGCAACGTACAGAAGGGTACGCTCAACGTATGCTCAGACAGTGGGCCTTGGGTTATTGGGCATTGGTTTCGGCCAAGCTTTGGACATAGCAGTAATTGGGTCGTGATGGGCCTTTAGGAGTCGGTCAACGACCCAAGGACTAATTTAGGCTTGAAAGGAAAGCCCATTTGAGGAGTTAGGCCCAATTTAGAAAATTGTGCCATTTAGGGACTTTAATGGGCTTTAACGAGTTTGAAAGGACTAGAAAGGATTGGGCCTAGGTCATGGCCCAAATTAGATCAAAAGGGGTAAAACAATCATTTTACCCTTAGAAGGATTTTCAGTTTTTGACTAAGTGTTTATTTGGTCATAATTGTCGGGGAGTAGTTGGAGCAACGGACAGAGTTACCTTGCTCGAGTTGCAGCAGCCAGATTGAGAGGTGAGTTTTCTCTAGTAGGAACGGGTCGAAGGCACCAATATCGGCCCGTTTATGTATGTTAGTGTATACCGGATTTAGATCCGATGTCGGGGTTAGCCCGATGTAGTTTATATGTTCCGAATTTCGGTCTGATACCGAGCGAGGCCCGAGGAAGGATTATATGTATGATTCTGAGCTACAGTTCGATGACGGGTGGTATCTGAGGTAGTAGTATATGTTTACCTATACTTGTTGTCTTTGTGATACTTATATGTGCTTGGTAGGGAGATGAGTGTGGGTGGGGGCCCGTATCTCATCACTAGTTGAGTGTAGTTGGGGTTCCATATCTCATTAGTAGCAGAGTAGGGGCGGGGCCCAAGATAGGTGGGGCCTTGAGACTAGCAATTATAGTATAGTGATTGTTTGTTATGCATTAGCATGATTATATGTTATTGTTTGTATATGTATAGCATGCGGGGCCCCGGAGATAGTCGAGGCCTAGTAGAAACATATATGTATACCGAGCAGGGCTCGATGCCAGGCGGGGACTGATGCTAGATTCGTCCGATGCTAGGCACGGCCCGATGTAGTGGGCTAGGCCCAATGTTTTCAATATGTGTTTACGTGTATGTTATATGTGGTAGTATGAGGAACTCACTAAGCTCCGTGCTTACAGTTTTCAGTTTTGGTTTTAGGTACTTCCGGTAGCGGAGGGAAGAGCTCGGGATGACTGCATGACATACATCAAGAAGTTTTAGCCTGGGATGTTTACTCTGATAAAAAGAACATGTTTTGAAATGATACTCTGATTTGATATTACGATTTTTGTTTATGAATGAAATGGTTGATAATTATGGTTTTTATTAATGATTTAAATCAAAATTTTCGGACCGTTTTTTTGGGTGTTACAGACATCGTCTTTGAGTTCATGTACAACTTTAGTTCCTTACATATCGACTCAATGTCTTTTGAAGCTCTGTAAATATATGTTAAATATAATATTGCAAAATCCTTCGCTTATCTTTCTTCTTCAACTTGAGCATAAATGTTTTTTTTGTGAAGGTTTTGTTCTTCAGTTTTGTCGAATTTGTTTGTCCAGGAAACCCTAGCACTGAGAAAGGTGCAATGAATGGTTTGATTGTCATTGAGACATAGGAGGATGCCGTTTGGTTTATTCCCTGAGACGAGTTTTGTGAAGTAGAAATCTTTAAAGTGGGTTGTGTTACATGAAATCTTAATTTTGACTTTTAAGTTTGACTATTTGGTTGAAACCTACTAGATCAGGTAGCACAAATAGGTAGCAGCAACAGGGACCAAAAAAGCAGGTAGACATCTATTGTATGCCCCTATAAATTACTAAAAAAACGTTTTGGGATTGAATGAGTAAATTCAAAATCGTTTGTTGGGCTAATATGTCCCGGTTTGATATAATATTTGAATCAACTTGCTGAATAATTAAAAAAAATTACAAAGCACCAAAAAAATTCCAAACAATAAACATAAATCCTTTCACATAGAACATTATACTTTGCATTCAAGCTTGACTCCAATAAAAAAAATTATTAAAGTTGGGGAGTAATCGATTCGAATCGTTTACAGTGTAAAGCTCAAGCTCGACTTGAATAAAAAAATTTGAAGCTTGAAACTCAACTTGGTCAATCTTTAAATTCCAATGTTAAGCTTAACTCCATTGATCCTTAAACTTCAAGTTCAAACCCAAGCTCAAGAAACAAATCATTTTATATTTATATTTATATTCCAACATACAAAGTTTCACAACCCCTTATTTATGATTTTTTATTACTAATTGGTGATATTCTTTATACTGAAAGTGTATAGGTATTTACTATTTATATGACATTGACATGACAAATAAGAATAGTTTAATTTGTATTGAATCAATGGAGGTGACCTAATAAGATGCAAAGTAGAATGGTTTAAACCGTATAAATATCATAACTACAATTACACTATGTTTGGAAAAAAAGATATAAACATAAAAAGATTAGATCATAAAAATAAGTTAATTTATTTTCTTAATTTTGCAAAACCAATTTTAAAGAACTACAATAAATCGTAATTGTAGACCAATAATAAACATTGACTTATATAAAATCATGACTTATACAAACCTATATTATATCATAATTGTGGACCATTTTTGTAGATCAAGTGTTTCATGAAACAAGAATCACAATTAGTAATTACAAAATGTATAAAAAGGAATTACAAAATGGTACAAAAGTCCTACTATGATATTTGTTGGTTGCATGTTGCCGATTTGATATATAAATTCTAAAGTAAAAGAGAGCCTTAATTTTAATTTTGGATTGTCATAGCAGCATGTATTGTATAATATTGTTGAAGGTCTCAATGGTTTATGTGACAAAGTTTGTGATTTGATAAAGAATGTCATTTTTCTCCGACACTTTTATCCCAACAAAAATGGTAAATTTATGGGTTATACTAATATTCAATATGCCCAAAATGCCCTTCATCTAATAAACTCCCACAATTATAGCAAAACTTTCTAGAAGAGTTGGAGAAAGCTTGCCTAGCCATGTTGTAGATCTTTTAGCCATGTATCAAAGTCTAAAAACTACAAGTGATGTCAATGCTAAAATCCTCACAAGTGAAAGCAGTTATGACTTAAAATGAAAGTAGATCACAAAGTTTATGTTTAATGGAAGTAGCATACTATTCAAGTAACATACACTCATCAATATTGTCCCACACATCCAAAATGACCATATTGCCCCTGACTATTATCATATTCAATGTTTTAAAGCCCGGGTTTTTAGTTGACCCGGTGTGATGACCGGTTCATGGGTCAATTAGTTCAACCGGTTGAACTGTCGGGTCAACCCAGTTTATGGTTTTTTTCTATTTTTATATATTTTTACTTTCCTACATATGCATAAACATATAAAACCAATAATTTGATGTCCATAAAGTTTAAACATTAAAAAACATTGAAGAAACCGCAAACAGCTCGTTGTTTTGGTATTGGTTACTTGTAACCAACTATTCAAACTCTATTAAAACAGGTCAATTCGGTTTTAACCGGTTCAACATAGGGGAAATCCAGACGGTTTGATCTGGTCTGTATTTTTATAAAAAACCGTTCTCAATTGACCCGCTTTCTACCTCGGGTCACGGTCCAACCGGTTGATCTAATCTATATTTTTACATTGAGTTGGTAATTGCTTGATTAGCCGGGATTGGAAAATTATCGATTTCATAGGTCAATTATACTAATTCTAATTAAATTTAAGTAATCGAAGGGTAATTATGTAATTCTTGTATTTATGCACTCCGACTATAAAGGAATAGAAGGGTAAGGTTGTGGTTATATAATTCTTGTAACTTTTTAAATAGAAAATAGTTACTAAAAATATCTATTAATCATATATTTCATCTATTATATAATATATTAGATATTAATTATATTATTATTTAATCAGCTATAACAAAATTCTTTAGACGAAAAAAAGCTTTATAGATTGTATATTTATATGATCCGATTTAATAACCATTCCTCGTCTTCTTCTTGGACCTTTGTAGGATCACCGTGTTTTCGTCGTCATCGTCGTCCCCAAAAAGAAAAAGTTCACTCACAAACATCGTTAACTCCATCGATTCTACAAAATCATCCATTCACAGCTCTTTGATCATCTTTCAATCTCCGAATGAAGAAAGGAGAAAAGCCTTGCTGATAACGTGGAACTTCCTCAATCCTTCACCTGCGTTTTTGGTAATACATGCTTCGTATGATTGTATCTTCATGAATCATTCTTCCATTTCAAACCTTTACTTGTATATTTCCTAAACTTTCATTACGTTGACTGTAAAACGGAGGATTTTGATCGATTTTTATCTGTTGAAAAGTCTTCGTTTTGTTTTTCCGTACGACTGGTGTGTGAAACCAAGATTTTTATATCTTTCCTCTCCTTTTCTGAACCGATGACTTGTTCCTTTCACTAAATTTCACACGAAATTGATTGATTTTAGGTCTGATTGATCCAAAAGAAAGCTGATAATGAAGGAGGATAAAAAAATTACAGGCTTCATCGGCCTAAACAACAATTTCCAGACACAAGAATTCCACCTCAAGCTCAATGAAAACATGTCAATGGAAAGCTTCATTAGCTTGAACATGAGCAACAATGGAGGTTCAATAGCATTCTCTATCACCAACAGCAGCGTGGGATCAAATAACTCCTCCAATGGTTCCAACACCCGGATGTTCCTATTACCCAACCATGGTTCGAACCCATATACCAATGGTGTTGGCCATAGTGTAGTTAACAACAGAGGAAGAACAAGAATCCCAAATGGGTCAACCTCGACCCCTGATGCATTGGCTCAAGCCTTACTAGATCCTCGTTTCCCTACAAAAGGTCTACAAAACTATGAAAAATGGACCATTGAGCTTAAGAAACTCAACATGGGTCCCGCTTTTGCTCAAGGTGCTTTCGGGAAGCTTTATAAAGGGATCTACAATGGTGAAGATGTTGCGATAAAGCTTTTGGAAAAACCAGAAGAGAATTTAGATGTGGCAAATGCTATGGAGAAACAATTTCAGCAAGAAGTGAAGATGCTTGCGGGATTAAAGCATCCGAATATTGTAAGATTCATCGGAGGGTGTCATAAACCGATGGTGTGGTGTATAGTCACGGAGTATGCGAGGGGTGGTTCGGTTAGGCAGTTTTTGAACAGGCGGCAGAATAGGGCGGTGCCGCTCAGATTGGCGGTGAAACAGGCGGCGGATGTGGCTAAGGGAATGGAGTATGTTCATGGGGTTGGAGTGATTCATCGGGATTTGAAATCGGATAATCTTTTGATTTCAAAAGATCAATCAATTAAGATTGCGGATTTTGGTATTGCGAGGATTGAGGTTAGGACAGAAGGGATGACACCCGAGATGGGGACGTATCGGTGGATGGCTCCGTAAGTTTACTTAGTTGTTGTCTGTTAAAAAAAACATCTTCTAACCACTTATTATTGCGCGGCGCAGCACACACGCAACACTTGGTCATTCGTAATTGTTTGTTTTTCAGAAGACTTCTGACTTAAAAACTGTTACGACTGTGCTGCATGGCGTAACACTTGACCATCTGCTTCAAACCTCTTCACGTCTTACTTTAACTTATTGCAGCAGTCTGCAGACTTTAAAAAAACAAAATTTTTATTACATGTTGCAGCTGTTTGGTCCACCTTTTCTGTTTCTGCAGATTTTAGACGAAACCCTAAACTTTCAATTTTAAAAAAGTGTATGGTTTGAGTAGTGTGATAATTTATACAAATGGCAATGCTTTAATTTGGTAATACTTTATGTAGGGAGATGATTCAGCATAGGCCCTACACACAAAAAGTGGATGTGTATAGCTTTGGGATTGTGTTATGGGAACTTATAACAGGGAAGCTACCATATCACAACCTTACAGATGTACAAGCTGCATTTGCTGTTGTGAATAAAGGTATTCGTCCGGCTATTCCAGATGATTGTATTCCGATTCTTGGTGAAATAATGACACGTTGTTGGGATGTGGACCCACATGTGAGGCCACACTTCAGTGAAGTTGTTAAAATGTTGGAAACGGCTGAAATTGAGGTTGTGACATCGGTTAGGAAGGCTCGGTTTAGAAGCTGTTGTGTACCCATGACAATTGATTGATATGTACGATTTTAAAGATAACGAAAAATAGAAGTGGTTTTATTATTATATATGTATTTAAAGGATGATTTCTTTCTATGTATACGTTGAAAAGAAAGGGAAATGTGATATGAAGTATGAACTGCCTGTTTTGTGGGTGGTATGTTAATATGTTTACTTTTTTGTTATAAGTTTTGAAAAATAAAAACTCAGACTAATGTTTCAACTTGTTTAAGGGACTTTTTAAAAAAATTTCCAAATATATTTTTTATTAATTATAAAAAGGAAATCTTTAGAAAAGTCTCTCAATATTTTACCTTAATTTACGAAAAAGTTTCAAATTAAAATTTGTTTACGAAAAGTTTTTAATTACCGGTAAAGTGACGATTTGATTCATTTTTTTCGGTTTACCGATTTCATTACTTACCTAGTTTTATTAAAGTCTCATTTTTTTTAGCATAATTTACAAATAAGTTCCAAATTATGATAAAATAATACGACTTTAATTAAATTATGGTAAAATATTTGGACTTTAATGAAACCGGATAAATATTAAAACCGATAAACAAGAAAAAAAAAAATCAAATCATCATTTTTATCGGTAATTAAGACTTTTTTATAAATAAATTTTAGTTTGAGATTTTTTTATAAATTATGATGAAATATTATTCCTTTTCCAATGACTTCCCTTACAAAAAAACCTCAATCCATCCTTTTATATGATTTGACATATTTCAAATAGTTTATTAAAAATCATTTTTTTTATCGGCTAACAGCTAGTTTTTCATCAGTAGATTTTCAACAAATTAGCCGGAGATAGCCTTAACGTCCTTGTTTCAAATGTATAGTGAATTCTTCTCTTACGAAATCCATGGTTTTTTCTTTGGTTTTGGAGTTTTCTATGTACATTTGTGTTCTTATTTCTCTATTAATTTTTATTGAATGAGTTGTTGGAAAACTTTGATACCATTTTGTTAATGAAAACTTATGCCAAACTCATCATAAATTATACGGAAAAAAGAGAACTATGTGATAACCATTTTGATCAATTCCTTTAACTGATAATGTTACACTTGTTTGGGTAGCAACTCAACAACCACCCTGTCATAACTACTCAAATTACAATGGAATCGGCTTCAGCCATGGCCGGATAATACCTCAACCGCCTCTAATCACAACCACCACCACCTCCTACCGCTAGAAATATAACAAAGGGGTGAAGAACCAAAGGCTTGACAAAAGTCAAAATAAAAGTAGGAAAGCCCTTCAAACTAGTGAAAAGGTTTGGTTTAAGATTTAGTAACCTCATTGTGGTTTTCTAACTGGAGAGAGTTAGCAACTCTATCCGAAAGACAATTTATTGAAGCATCATCAATGGTGTTTTTGGTAGAAAAAACTTGTTCCTTGGTTCTCTTTTCTTGCAAAGATTTCTCACGTTCATCGTAAAAATTAAAATCATCCAAGATTGATGTATCCGCATCATGCTCTTTAAAGATTTTCAACATTGTGTTACCCTCTTCAAGTTTCACCTACACAAAATGAAAAAAAAAACTTTAAAATCCTCCACGATCAACATTGATGGTAATAAAGCCTTGTACTGTGTTTGACATGCATTGGACTGTAACCAGGAAAAAAAAAAAGTAAACTTTGTCCCACAAAAAAGTGTGACAAGGACTCGGCTCTTGATCTCATTTGCGCAAAAGACGTAAATGTCCTCTCTAATGGACCCGGTGTCAATGTAACAAAAATCAAAATCTTTGATGGGATTGTGACTCGGCTCTCAATCTCTAGTTTGTGTAAAAGACGGAAATGCCCTTCTCATCGCAAATACTCAAGTGATCTAAAAGAGGTAAATGCCCTCCTCACAATCACTTTCATATTCATATCCATCATCAGGGATGAAGACATAACCCCTTTTCAATCTTTTGTTTGTGCAAAAGACATAAACGCCCTTGTCATCAAAATCAAAATACCTCTTGTGAGTCTCGGCTATGAGTGACAGGCTTATTATCATTATTTTCAAGAAGAATATGTCTAAACCGACTATTTGGGACATCTTTAATAATATGCCATTTAACCCGAAATTGCCCACTCCACCTATCCTGTTGCCAATAATCCGCATCATTCTCAAAATCCACACCTCCAATCATCTCAGCAACCCCACAAAACTGTCCACTCGCATTCACCTACAACAATTCAATCATAAAATAATCTACAAAAAATATATATATCGAAGAATCAACACAAAAACTAAAAAGTAAAAACCCACCGAAAAAAACAGAAAAACCCTAGAAGCGTACTCCTTTGCTTCTCTATATGCAGCATCGAGCTTTCGATTCCCAAGTGGGGTACTTGCCCAAACACCATACTTTATACTTCTATGAACATTATCTTCACTAAAAGATTTAATCACAAAAAATTTCGCCTTTTCATAAGTTGTAACAAAATCTTCATTTGACATATGCTCACCCGTTGTTCTTCCCTTCGGTTTCAATGCCCTTGGTCCTCGGTTCCTATCACTTGTAGTCGCGCTCAAGCTAACCGAGTCGACTCGGTCCCTATTTTTGTCGAGACCATGGTTCAATCGGCTAGCTTCATAAGAACCATGATATGGGCCAAGTATGCCAACTGGGGTCGATTGAGTTGATACGGGTTCACATTGAGTGATTTCATTAGGGAATTTGTAGAATCCATGATTGTTATTTCCAGGGTAGGGTAGATAATAACCTGGGCCTACAAACATGTTGTCGATGATCCCATCTTGGGTGATGTTTGTGGTTAAGGGTGTATAATCGGATGGTGAAATTGGTTGCGAGTAGTACGATGATGGAGAAATTGGGAGTTGATGTGGTGAATAGAGTTGACCATCGATCATTATTGGTGATAGTTGACTTGCGATTTGGGGGAATTGAGCGTATGCGATTTGGGTGTCGTATGTGAAAGCGGGATGATATAGAAGAGATGAATTATCGTTGTAGATTGCCTAAATTACGTCAGCAAAAAGGTGGAGAAAATAAGGTTAGTTATGTGAATAGGAAAGAAATTGGGTTAAATGTGTAATTATGCAACAAAGTGGTTTCTAATATGAAATATGGTTGTATAATTCGGGTCAGTTGAATAAAATAGTAGGAGATTGAAACATTTATCGTATAAATCACTAAAAAGGTGAAACGTTTTAGCATAAATAAGTTTTTGTGGAGTGAAAAGTGGGTACATATTTTTAGACGAAAATACACAAAAATTTACTCAAAACTTGTTAACTAGTTATGGTTGCATAATTTATGTTAGTTGCATAAATTGGTTAAAAAAATTGAAACATTATTTGCATAAATCTATAAATAAAGTGGAACATTGTTGCCTAAATTCCTTAAAAAGTGAAGCAATGTTGCATATTTTGATCCTAGAATGAAACATGGATGCACATTTTGTCTAAAGAACCATTTTGTTGCGTAAATTTATAGAAAAAAGAAAAAAAGAAAAAAAAAAAAAAGAAATGTGAAACATTTTTTTTTCATAAATGTGCATTTAACTTTAACCTAAAGAAAAATGTAAATGCTTAATAATGACAAATGGACTCTTACCGGGGACATAATTTGCAAATTGTTAGTATGAACATAATTTGAACCTTCTCCCCAATTAACCAATCCATCACCATAACCTGATTAAATTCACAAGATAAAAGTAAGTCAAAATTTTAAAATCCCCAAAGTCAAACTATGTTTTTTTGTAAACTGACCTCCATAAAAGTATGTTTGTTCTGGAGCAATGTAAGTGTTTGATGAGTTCATAGGCGTATGAGCTCGACTCGCACTCCAGGGTTCTGATTGGTTGGCTGCATCAACAGAAGGATTCAAAGGAACAATTGTTTCATTTTTTGGCTGAAAATAAAAATAAAGTATTAATATAACATGTTATTTACACTAAGAAAAAGAAAAAAAATTAAAAATATCATGAATAAAGGCTTTCAAGTTGAAAAAAAAAATACCTTATCTTTTCGTTTCTCAGCCGAAGGACCATCACCTGTTTCAAGTGTCGAATTTGTCAGAAAGTTAGCAATTCACAAGACTTCAATGAAATAAATTCTGCATCTTTTAGTCTCATCTAAAAAGGTGGAACAAGGACTATGAGAGTCTGTGATTTCTGACACTTAAACAAAAAGACTTTTTTTTACGAGTTTGAATGAAAGTAAATGACCATTTTACCCTTGTGTTTAGATATGTCGTTGTACTGTAACTGTACTATGGGGGGTGTTTGGCTTATCTTTTGAGAGGTCAAAAGGACTTTTTCCAAAAGTTACAAAAAGTCAGAAAATCCTAACTTTTCCAAAAAGTCATTTTTTCTTATATCAAAAATCCCAAAAGTAGCTTTTAAAATACTTTTACCAAACATCTTTTTCCTTCTATCTTTTTCAAAAAGTTCTTTTGGTCTTTCAAAAGACAAGCCAAACACCCCGTATATATTTAAAAAACTGTTATATTTTGAACTTAGAAATCACTATTTATTTGTTACCAAAGAATAAATGACCATTTTACCTTTGTGTTTGGATACAATTTTAATTATATTTAATCACATCACGAGTTAGCAACTTAAATTGATCACCAAGTGAAAAAGGAACACCACTTAAGAAACTTTACATGAAAACACACCACTATAATCTTGAATTCTTGAGGAAGACATAAAGCATCCATTCCCCATGATTGCAGTATTTCTAATTAATGATATCACTTAATGAAGTTTAAAAATCTAAATCAGGGTTTACAAGTTAAAATCAACCATCTTCAGAAAAGAAAAATAAAAAAGACATACATATAAATGTAACTTAGGATGAATTCTAGGGTTTGCACTAAAACAGGCATAAGATCCGAACCCGAAACAAAAATCAATTCAAAACCCACATTTTAACTACAATTGAAAATGCGAACTCAGATCAATCTCAACCCCAATTCACAAAAAAGAAAACCTTAAATCATGCTAAATTTGTAAGCGATAATACCAGATTCCCAAATCGTACAACCGCAATAACGAACAAGAGGAATCGGCATAAACTAAGTTAAATTTGTGAGCGAAAAGAACAAATCAAATCAACACTATGTGAAGATCGACATTAAAAAACTTCAAATTTCGAATTATCAACAACTAAAAGATCGAGAATTCAGTAATGAGAAAGAAAAACATACCACCATGTAAAAGGAGAGTTGGAATTGAAGCAGAAGAACTTCGATCTTGTCCCTGTTGACTTGATTCGTCCATGATTTTTCCCAATTGGTTAAGATTAAATCAAACCAGAAACCTTTTTCTCTTCTAAAAGAACACAAAAGAATCAAGATTGAAGCATCGAACTCAAATCGTCATCATCACTAGGAGAATAAATTAATCAGAAGAAAGAAAGCAAGAAATTTTTAAAAAGGGTTTTAGGTCGTACATATATAGATACAAGATTTATGTATATAACATACAAATTTTACACATGCATCGGTAAAAGCGTGATATAGTCAAGCAAGAAAGAAAGGGTATCGTCTTTTTCCAGAACTTAAATAGAAATTCCTAAATAATGTACAAGTTTCAATGAAGGTTGTACAATCCACCGTTGCGTATGTGATCTGGATTTAATTATTACCCTTTTAATTTAGTTTTTACCATGAATATAGGCGGTTGGATTTCCTTTTAAATTCAGAGGATCTCGTGTGAATGGACATTGGGCTTTTGGCTTTTGTAGAATCTGGCAGTTTAAGCTCCACTTGATTTGATGGCGAGTGAGCGACACGCAAATGGTTTTGTCATTTATGGGTTCTTTTTGATGGGCGTGGGATTCACGCGATGGGGATAGCGTCGGTAGATAAATATACGCGTCAGCGCTTTTGAAGTAAAAAATCGATAAAAGATATTACTGTCTGGCATGTTTTTACGCCTAAAACTTACATAGCGAAAGTAAATTTAAAATTTTCTTATTATTATACAGGACCAAATGGTACCTCCCAAGGTTGTTAAGATCGTGATTTTACCTAGGATCGTTTTTAGGTTTGTAAAATCGGAATCGTAAGATCGGGATCGAGATCCTAAGATCCCACAAAATAGAATATAATTTTAATTTATAATATTAATCATAAAAAATATTTCAAACATTTAATTTTTCATTCAAAAGTTATAAAAACTTTAAAATATTAGTCATAAGTCACAATAAAAATGATAAATGATAAATTGGTAAAGGGTAAAAGACATAAAATGGTAAAAAAAATTCATTTGAAAAAAAAATTAAAGGAAGGTAGGATCGGATCGGATCTCGATCCTACGATCCTACCTACGATCTTACGATCCTACCTGCGATCCTAACCAAAATATGATCCTTTTACGACCCGGATCGTTTTTCATACATAGGATCGTAGGATCGTACGATCCTACAATCAGGATCGCGATTTTGACAACCATGGTACCACCGAAAATATATATTATTTGTTGCTATATAGAAGTCACAGTTTTATCATAAAAGTATGGTTCTTTTTTGGTGTCATACTATTTAAAAAATGTTAATTTAAATAAAAATATTAATTTTCTTCACACCTAATCACATCAAATTCCCCCTAACAATCACAAAATGTGATCATTTTTAACCACACTGCACTCTAAACCGCACCTAGGGGCGGTGTTCGCTGCCTAGTGACGAAACCACACTCCCTCTACCTACTCCCCCAAGTCTTAGGAGCATTTCGAACCCAACTCCCGTCGAGTTTATCCAGATAAACATAAGTGATTTGTATGGTCGGTCTCACATATTATTCGGTCAGTTTTTTCAGTTTTCGGTTTATACGGTTTTTTTAATCTTGAACTAACCATAACAAAAACAATTAAGGTTTGGTTTAAACGGTTTTGGTTAATTCAGTTACGGTTTATTCAGTTCGGTTTACCAGTTAAACCAAATAAAATTTTACATGTAACAATAAATATTAAAGAAAAAAAAAACCTTACTAAACTGTTACCAAATGAGAAAACACTAATACATAACATATTATATTCAGTCTTTTATAATATGTTTTCTTGAAGTATCGTTGTAGCCACATAATTTGTAGAAGCGGGTTAATATAAAGACAAAATTGCTAGAATGGTCCCTGTGGTATGTCAAAACTAGCAACTTTGGTCCAAAATGGGTTTGACTTGCAAGGATGGTCCAATAGTTTCGTTTTGTTGCAAGTTTAGTCCAATTTCCTATGAACTTTTTTATAATGACGGATTTGCCCCATATTAATTTTATTTTCCATTTTTCTTTTATTACAAGAATTAAAAAACAATTAAAAATAAAACAAAATAAAATCTCTCTCTCTCTCTGTCTCTCTCTGTCTCTCTCTCTCTCTTATCTCACAACTCCCTTTCTTTTGATTCATCTTCTTTCTTCCTTCCATCCCTGTTTCACAAAGAAAGAATGGAGCACTAGTGGTTTTCACACCGGTGGTGTTGCTGTGGTGACCACTGTGAACATCTACCACTTCTTCGCTTGTCACAGCACCACCACGATCACCATAAACTCCACTTCAGTTGTATGCCAACATCACCACCAACTTACCGGTGTTCCACCATATCCAGTCCGAGCCACCAAAGTCGACGAAGGGGGAAGGTAGTCACTGACTGCCACTGTTAATCACTGCCTTTCCCGAATTTCTCCATCCACCCCCCCCCCCCTTAAATCTGCAACGATGACAAGAGAAGGAGATGGATGTGAGCTCGTCGACTTCCAACCTTGTTTCGCCCATCCTATTCGCTCAACGCTACTTCTCACCACCATACATGACCTTTCCACCCTCGTTACATCTCTCCAGTCATACCGCACCGCTAATGAGGAAACCCAGCTGCTCCTGTCGCTCTGCTACTCAAACAGCTTGCTGCCATCGCTGTTGTTGTGAGTTCCAGCCACCAAATGTTGCCACTCCCTCCGACCACCAGCTTCCTTTTCTATTCATTCTCGCCGGTGGGAAAGAAAAACATGAGGAAACAAGTGTAGTGATTTATTTCAGATCCAAAATCAATGGTGGGTTTTCGTTTCTCTTCGAATCAATGGTGGGCTTTCGTTTCAGGTAAGGTTTTGTGTGTGGATTTTGTTTCAGATCTACCCTTATTTCAGATCTACCCTTCACCTTCAACTTTTGGATTTGGGTTTTATTTCAGATCCAAAATCAAGAACGAAAAACACCCATTGTGGATATGCATTTGGGATGTTGGATGGTCGTGGGTCACGACTGGGGGAGGCGGAGAAACTGCCACAGTCAACTGTGGTGGCTCTCTTCGCTGGAGAAGTGAGAAACGAGGGAGATAGACGAGTTGGAGATGAAAAGGAGGTCGAGGAAAGGGAGATTGTATGAAAACGAGGGATATATATATATATATATATATATATATATATATATATATATATATATATATATATATATATATATATATATTACTGTAATAAAAAAAACTGAAAAATGGAAAATACCAACGGCAAATCCATCATTATAAAAAGTTCTAAATTTTTTGGACTAAACTCGCAACAAAATGAAACTATTGGACCATCCTTGCGAGCCAAACCCATTTTGGACCAAAGTTTCTAGTTTTGACATACCACAAGGACCATTCTTCCAATTTTGTCTAATATAAATTAAGTTTTATATAAAGAAGAAAGAAATGATTGAAGGTAAATTGGTATTTGGCTAATTAGTTGTTGCTTTTTAATACAATATATAAGCAATTATAAATTTATAGTGGTTAATAGTTAAATAATGGGTTATAAAAATATTTTTTAGTTACTATCTATCAACTTAAATATAAAATGTTAATTTATAGATGTAAACTATAAACAATATATATTAATTAAATAGCTTCTTTAGTTTTTTTGGTTTAACCGAAATCATGAAAATTTAACCAAAACCAAACCAAATAAGGTATCCTTATTCGATTAACCAAACCGAATTAATTAAATAACCAAACAACTCGAAACAAATAAACCAAGCATCATTTGATTGAATTTGGTTATTCAGTTTCGGTTTTTTTTATCACAACCCGATATAGGTCTACCCACGTTTTATTGTACTGTCGTCCGAAAACTCACTACCGCCTACTAATCCTCACACCGCACGTAGTCTTGCTACCAGCTAACCTCCATGAAATACGTAACCATACGTAACCAGAGGTGAGATAGCCACCCAAACTGATGATCTTACTCTAGAGTCATAACTAAACAAGGAACAAGCAAAAAAGCTTATATCAAGAGTTCTTAGGCTATCCTACATGACCATATATAGTCCCTAGGGCACTCCACTAGATGATAACCAACAAGTACAGGTAGTCATACAGATCTACAGATCATTACCGTATAACAACATCCTATATACTAAGATACACATCTAGCATATCAGTACAACATAGTAACATCCTATATACCACAATATAGATCTAACAAATCTTTACAGTAAAGCAATATCCTATATACAAATGATACAGATCTAACATATCATTACAACATAGCAACATTCTATATACCAAGATACAGATCTAACAAAACACTAAAACATAGCAACATCCTCTATACCATGATAGATATCTAACACATCACTACAACATAGAAACTTCCTATATACCTAGATACATAACCAACAATCCAAGGAATGCATAACCGTATATACTCAGAGGTGAGATAGACACTCGAACAGATGATCCTACTCTAGAGTCACAACCAAAGAAGGAATAAACAAGAGAGCCTAGATTAAGAGTCCTTAGTCTATCCTACGTGACTGCATACAGTCCTTATGTCATCCCTCTACTATATGATAACCAAAACTAGTAGGACGACATTAGTACCTTTGACCCACGATCAATATCCCAAAATCCTCAAGTTTGACCTAAAGTCAAACTTGGTCAACAAGTCAACGGTCAATGAAAGTCAACAGTTAACAGACCCTCACGATGTAACCATATATGGCTCACGTTGTGAGCCACTACAACACAAAATCATCAGGTCTTATAATCCTCACGATGTGGCATGCATATCCTCATGTCGTGAGATCATTCTGAATGGCATTTTGATCCAAAAACTTCTCAATCCATTAAGCCACTAATCCATCTTTTCCTAGGAGGCTTCCTAACACTTCTAGGATCATAAAAATCGATGCTTTAAGGTCTTGTATGTCCAATACATGAGCTCAAGGAGATAAATTCTCAAGCATGAACTCAAACATCCTACTAAATCTCAGATCCATAATATACAAGCACTAAGGGACCCTAATAACCCATAAAGTTGCCAACTTTATTAAGTCCCAACACTTTAACTCTTAAAGTAATGGGTAAATATGCATAAAACCTTAGATCTAGCAACAAGGAAACATAAATCTTGGATCTTTGTTACTCACAATGGTCCAGGTGTGTAGCTAAAGGTTGTAAATGGAACTTCCAAGTTGAAATTATGCTTCAATGATGATCTCTTCTTTTTCAAACCACCAAAACTCCACTAAAAGCTCAAGAA